CTTTTATAATGGAGGAGGAGAACGCTTATGATGAGGCTGCCTTCATGGAAAATGCGCTGAGATTCTCAGCAGCCAGATGGGGTAGATTTAGTGAAGGGAAGAGTAGAATAAGGTGGCTACTGGAAAGATTCTTTTAGAATAACAGAGAACACAAAAGAGGATAGGAAACATGAGGTTGTTTCATGCTACAATGAATAATAGGGCATTAGATAGCAAGTGAGGGTTACCATGTTAGTCTGCCTCTACACTATAACCTTGTGTGCTCGTAAAATAAATAGATTAATTAATTAATAACAACCTTGTGTGATTGTGGCTAGGTTGCTTTGATACTTCAGACCTCAATTGCATTATCTACAATAAAAATTACTGGGCTAGTCAATCCCTGGAGTTCTCCTTGGTCACACTCTTAATAAATCCATAAACTGCAAGAGAAAACTATGATAAAAAACATGTACCTATATTCCCCATGAAAATTACAGTCAGGACCTGCCTGGTGGCCTAGTGAGTAAGTCTCAGCGTTATCACCACTAAGGCCTAATCCTGCCAGGGAACTAACCACCTGGCACAGCAGACCTCTCCTGTCTTGCCTGCTGTTCCCCTTAGCAGTGTATTTTAGTATATGCAACTGTTCTGCTCCCCACTCTGTCTCTGGTGAATCCTCTCACCTCCTAGACCTCTGGCCTACATCCCAGTTCTTCTATGCAAAAATAAATTTTTAAAAAAATTTTAAAGAAGAAAGAAAATTACAGTCAATGCTATGGGGAAAAAAATAAAAATGAAGATTTTAGCGACTCAGAAGTGTATAAAATGAGTATAAAATCTCCACTGAAGATTATTGGTTATCTTTGTGTGTGAATGTAAATAAATACTGACCATACAAACATAAAGCTGAGGGAGCTGAGCAGACATCAGCAAGTATTTGGGCATTTCATAGCATAATTAGCATCAACTTCTATATATCAATCTAGATAGGAAAGGCAGAAAATTGGACAGACTATATCATGCCCTGAATAGCAAACTTTAAAGTGCATGTATAACTATTTCTTTTAGAGCCTCAGTCACTGCTTCCCAAAATATGTCTTTACAGAAAGCATTCCAGGCTAAGATAGTTTTAATTTATCAACATTTAATAATTAATTGATAAAACCATTGAGCTCAAAAGAAAGTGGTAACAATACATTATCATTAAAACAAAAACTACATGTACAAAATGGTGTTCCAAAATCACAGAACCTTGGTGCTAAACCTCACACCACTTGGGTCTTTTCATCTGTGAGATAAGAAAAAAATTACTGGTTCCGTGGACTGTTCCAATCTTTCATAGCTAAGGTAGCTCTAACTTCAAATTCTTGACAAGCCACACAAAGGAATTTGGGAGCTTGGCTCCAGGGTAGAGTTTCTGAGAGGAAATGTCCCTGAACATTTGTGGTGGAACTTGTGGGTGCTGATTAAACCTCAGGAGCTCAGTAGGCTGGTCTGACCTGGTAGTTCTGCTCAAGTAAGGGAAATTCTCAGGAATTAGGACTCCAAGATACCCTTCCTTAGGTGATGCAGGTCTGGAGCAGGATCTACTTTTACCTCCCCTTTGTTCAAGCTACTGAGTTTCAGTGCCTTTGACTTCCCCACATTTTTGATAAGCAGTCAAACTCGGAGCCGCCTCAGGGTTTCCTGTTGTCACTGAAAGTTTCTGTGAAAACTTGGAGGGCTTCTAAGTAACATTTTCCACTTTCTTGCCTTTCTCTGTTGAATACCTGTAATACTGGTCTCACAAAAAGTTAGTGAAATTAAATTTTAAAAGGGATATTACCTGTTAAAAGCAATATATGGGTAAATATTCATTAATGGGGAAAAAAGAATTGAATATTTGATGTCTGAAGTACCAGGCTATTTACATGTTTTCTCATTCTCACCTAGTAACTTATTAGAGATATTATCCCCATTTCACAGATGAAGAAACTGAGGATCAGTGAGGCTAAGCACTTTTGCCTTTAAGGAGGGTCTGAAACAAAGACTCTTAACGCAGTTCTATATGGCTGTAGTGGTCAGGCACCTTTCATCACAATGTAGAGTGTATTTGCCAGATTTATTTGAAATGTAAATTATGAGTTTGGAAGATCACATGACATCTACAATTAGACTTTTTTTTTTTCCCCCTAGCCAACTCCTATAAGATACAGAGTTAAAGACATGACAGTCCCTACAGCGATGTGGACTGGCGGTCAGGACTGGCTTTCAAATCCAGAAGATGTGAAAACTCTGCTCTCTGAAGTAACCAACCTTATCTACCATAAGAACATTCCAGAGTGGGCACACGTTGATTTCATCTGGGGTTTGGATGCTCCTCATCGTTTGTACAATGAAATCATACATTTGATGAAGCAAGGGGAGGCCAACCTTTCCCAGGATACTTGTGGGGTCACCTTGTTCTGAAGCATGGGATACTGATAAGTCTTAGGAAAAACTTCATGGGATACTGGGGTGGGGTCCACCAATGGATAATTTTAAGGAAGATTTCAAGACTTGGAAACCTATTATATCAGTAGGGGGCGGGTGGATAAAGGAGGGCTGAAATAAGGTATACATTTCTTTGGATTTCCTGCATTTGACACTAAAACAGACATTTATTTCCCAGTTAATTAACCTCCTCATTGGATAAATATGTTTCATGTGCTATTATATATTCCACCATCTTGAAGAGTATGCATTACCTGACAGCTGGAAACTAAACTTTCTCAATATCATTCCAATAAACCTCCTTAAAAAACTCTTTCGTTTTATAAGTCTTTTTTTTTTTTGGAGCAATAAAGTAAAAGGACAACTTTAGACAGAAACAGAGGTCCTGTAGCTCTGGATGGTTGCTGGCTTTGATAAAATAAGCGAGACAAATTCACTTTATAACCATGGTGACACACCTATCTCAGGAAGTCTTGTTGCTTTAACAAAAAAAAAAAAATCAATGTACAGTGTAGATAAAATATATTTTAAGCATCTTGTAAATAATCCTAAGAGTTATAGCCAAGTCTCAGAGAAGACAACTTTGTAGTGTATTTATGAGTTTTGTAATATATGTGTCACGCATTGCGTAAAGCATGCTTGTGTATTTCAGTACCGAGTTTCTAGTCCAAGCTTGTTTGAAAGTTTACAGCCTGTTACTAGGAGACTTAATGACTAGAAATGTCTGACCCAGTTTTCTATCTTCAAAAATTAAAAGGTAGGAAGAAAATTTTATAATGCCATAACCATAAAAAACAAATTGGCATGTATTTTATCCTTTGATCTTGACAAATTTACTATTAGGCAATCAGCCCAAGTATTTAATCTAGATTTATTTCTTTAGAAAATTGTCCAACTTTCACACATTTTTAAGATGACAGTTATAAATTACATGAGTAATAGTACAATTTTGTAAAACTCTGGAACCAAATTGAAGGCATACTGGTATGTGAATTTCACTAGTCTTTTTTTCAACCCCAGAGTTACCTGGTAACTCATTTCAATGTGAATGTATTTTAGATGATCTATTAAGAAACTATATGTATCTACATCTTAATCTATGTCTACATGTTACTACTTCTCTCACATTATACACCTTTTAAGAGCCTGGATGCTGTTCAAAATATATTCCTGGATTTGATTTTAATTAGACCTTTGCTCTTTTTAAGGCTGGTAAATCTTTCATTTTTTAGACATTGTAACCACAATGGTGATTTTAGCCCATGTTTTAAATTATTCATAAAACCAATTCAGTAATTTTCTTTTTTTTAAGATATATTTATCTATGCATACAAGAACTAGGGTATAGGCCAGAGGTATGGGAGGTGAGAGGATTCACCAGAGACAAAGTGGGGAACAGAACAGGCAGACTGACTGAAATACACTGCTGAGGGGAGCAGCGGGTGAGGCAGGAGAAGTCTGCTGTGCCATGTGGGTTGCTCCCTGGTAGGCTGGGGATAGAACTCCTGCTGCAGAGGCTGTGGACAGCTACATAGTGCTATGCTTAACTCCTTGCACCACCAGGAAGGCCCAATTCAGTAATTTTCAAATGTATTTCTTTTTATTCTGTTTCACTGACAAAGGACTTGAGGCAGATATTTTTATATTCACAACCACTCCTCTAGAAGTGTAATCCAGATAGTTCATTACCCAAAGAATTTACAATAATTTGTTAATTTTATCAACAGAAATATACAGAACTAACAAGTTTAATAGCTGCCTTGTATTCACAAAAGAATCATAAAGATAATTTTGAGCAAACATCCATAGAGTTATACAATCTTGCTCAAAACCAAGATGGCTTTTATTTGTATCCTGATACCAAAATATCTAGGGCTCCCTGGTGGCACAAGTGGTTGAGACACAGCCTATGAGTGGCCTAAGCAGTGGCTGACCACACCCACTGCAGCACGAGTTTGATCCCCGGCCAGGAAGCAACACACAGGGCACAGCAGACTTCTCCTGACTCACATGCTGCTCCCCTCAGCAGTATGTTTCGGTCGATCTGCCTGTTCTATTTCCTACTTTGTCTCTGGTGAGTACTCTCACACCCCTGCACCTCTGGCCTGTACCCCTGTTCTTGTATGCATTGTATGCATAAATAAATAAATCTTTAAAAAAAAACACAAAATATCTAGAGGTAAACTAATAATTTGACCCTCTGGGGGTGAAAGTGTTCTGATTTTTAAATTTTATCTATTTCTATGATTTAAACAATGCACCATTGACAACTGATAAGTGATTTTGTTGAAGTTGTTTCACCAAAAGAATATTTACATATGAATTCCCAAGCCCAAACACATATATACACCCTTCTATACAACTATAAACATGAGTTTTACTACTCAAAGAAACACTTTTGTCTCCTGAGGCATGACTTACACAGGACACATCTTCATACACTCAGAAGAGTGGACTCAAGAACTCTGATCCTCTTCTCCAGGAGAGACTTAGTTTGAAACATCTGCTTTGGATTGACATGGAGAATCCAAGAGCTTTAGAGTTTCCTTAGAAGGATTATACCCATGGTCAACTCCACTGAGCAAAAAACATTATAAACACAGAAATGTTGCCCACAGCAACCATTATTAGCCCCATAAAATGATGGCACCCAGGTTGATTGGCCCACAGACCAGTGGTCCAAAGCGGAGAGAGAATCCAGTCCTTTAACTCTTTGTACTTCTCCATCTGAGGTCACAAGGATTATGATGCTTTTCTTAGCATTAGTTCAATCTGGAAAAACTTTAATCTCCGTGCAATATCCAGGGAGCTCTCACCATTCTGAGGAGAGAAAGGAAGTCTAGTTATTTCTCTTCAGTATGGTCAAATATCAATGCAAAGGAACGAGCAAACAAGTTAGACTGACTCTCAGGCTTGGCAAGTTCTAGCAGTAATAGAATAACTTCATTCCTTAATGAGGATGATTAATTTTTCTCTTAACAGCATCAGAAGCAGTTGATTTATTTCCACAAGGTGAACGGTCAAGGTAAAATTGTGCCATTGGAAGGACTGCACACCATGGCCTACAGGTCCTTACCTTATTCTTTTTTAAAAAAAGATTTATTTATTTACACATACAAGAACTAGGGTCCAGGCCAGAGGTGTTGGGGTTGAGAGGATTCACCAGAGACAGAGTGGGGAAGAAAACAGGCGGATTGACTGAAATACACGGCTGAGGGGAGAAGTGGGCAAGTCAGGAGAGAGAGCTTCATAGGATGCGTCTTAACCCCTTGCACCACCAGGAAGGCCCCCCTTACCTTATTCTTTATCATGGGGTCTGCATGGGCTTCAAGTAGCAGAGGGATAAGAGTCTGGTTTTTCATTTCACAGGCGTAATGTAAGGCAGTGCACCCATACTGAAAGACAAAGGGCCGAGGGCTAATCATTGAACACCACATACACGGTAGCATCTGGCTTCTTCACCAAGTATTTCCACTTTCCTAGTGTACAACTAAACAAAAAGTTTGCAAACCATCTATGTGCAATTATATTTCTTGCACTTAAAAAGTCTTTTCTGCCTCACTGTATATATTATGACAGCCCTAAAAGTTATGAATATTATCCTTTCTTATTTTCTATTCCAAACTGAAAAAAAGAAACACAATTTATAAGAACTGATGCTGAATTATCCCCAGGTTTCTTTGTAGAATTCTATATGTCTGGACAATGGCCCTCTTGGCTATGTCAATAACTTTTCCCTTCCAGAGTCTCCATGTGGATATTTTTGCAAATATTGTCCTCTGTTGTTTCTGATCTGAAAAGGCAGCTGGTGCCCATGTGGGTGCACTCATGCACAGGTCAGGGCAGTTCTACAAGGGAGTCTCCCCTACCTGGTTTGTTGTAGCTTATGAGATGCATGAGAGAATAGCACACCTACTCTGTTGGCACTGATTTCAAAAGTAACTAGGGGTCAAAATAAAATTGCGTGCAAAGTTCTGCCTTTCAAAAAGCAGTCAAGCAACCACAGTGTTGATAAGTGAAGAAATGATATCCTTGACTATCAAGCTAACAGAATTAATTCTGGATCTTATTCCACAGAAACTCTTTCACAATTATGGAAATTAATGCTATAATCATTTATTTTTATTAAAATGATGGCATGATAAATGGAAGATAGGGACTGAATTTTTCTATGTGGGATAGAATCCAATTACCCAGGAATACAGTACACTGCATTACTTAGACCTGGAAAATGGCTCTGAATATCTGAATACGGTTTTTGGAAAATGTAAGAAAAAGTATGTGTCTGTGTTGCATTCCCATTCCAGATTCTTACCTACTAAGCCTCTGTTTTCCTTAATTTCTCACCAACAGAAAGTTCTTAACAATTGTTCTTTAATCAAAAAAAGATTATTCCCATGAGCTCTGTGACAGAATACAAATAAGCCTGACTAAAAGCCAGGGGGAAAAAGAGTGAACTAAGTGTAGCTACGTCCTGGGAAACCAAGCAAGCAACTTTAGGATGACAAGTAGCTGCCTGCAAATGGCATTTGGGTATGGTTTTAAAATTATGAGAGATACAAACTTACACAGTCTGCAGCATTAACTTCAACGCCAGCATCAAGTAACATTCGTATAAGGGTCTCATTCTGCTTTGTCTTTGATATCTGTAATAAATGACACAAGCAAGATTTATCTACAAACATTTTCTTCACCTTATGTCTGGACTATTGTAATCAATAGGCTTTGTTTTGACCCCAACATGCCTTTGTGTTCATGTAACTTTCTAAACATTTCCACCATCACCCCACCCTCCATCAATATTGATTAGTTCCCAGAGTGAGGTCCTAGAATAGAAGTATCAGCACCTGGAAACTTGTCCCAAATACCATGCTCTACTGAGGACAGGGTACAGGATTCTGTCTTTTCCTGACTCAAAATCCTCCCGAATCCTGAGAACAAAAGCAAGTTCATTAGCATGGCCTACAACATGCCTTCCACAGAGTTCAGGCTCTACTCATGGCCCCAAGAATGTCATTCCATACCTCCAGCCTCCCCTGCTCTACCACACTGGTCTTTTTTCATCTTTTATTCCCTCCATTCCCACCAGACTCCTTCATTCAGGAGAACAGTTTCACAGAATAGCCCCCTTTTCACCAGTAAATTTATCTTTCCTATCTTTGCCCACAGGCCTCTTCCTCTAAGAAGAGATTCCTCATCCACCCGGTCAGGTGTAACCCCTCTCTTCTTGACTCTACTAATGCTGATCACCTCTCTACACCACCTGCTTTGTGGACATTTTACATGTCTTTCTGTCATCTGATTTATATTCTCCACCACTTTCTAATTCTCATGGGGACAAGGACTATACCTGTATTGGTTGTCCTTGTATCCCTGATACCCAGCTCAGTGTCTGGTGCATAGTAGGTCTACAATCATGTCTTGAATGATTGTGTGAATGAATGAAATTAACTAGGCTCCTAGAAATCCACTTATCCCGCCTGATCCCCTAAAATTCTGGCCACATGCCAACACGAAAGTTGCACCAACATTCTATTGCTTTCGTGTCTTCAGCTCTCCCTCCACATGGGAAAGTCCTGGACTTCCCACCTTTATCATCCTTGAAGTTTCATCTATAATTTTTCTCATGTTACATCTCTGGCATTTCTGAAATGTGTAGCTTCAGTGTCAATAAATAGGGCACTTGTGCTACAGAGTGGCTTCATTGCAATTTGCATTTTCCCCTAGACCTCTAGCTTTTAAACTTTAGACAGCCTTAGAAAGCAAGGTTGTATGTCAACAAATTATGAATGAACCTTGTTAAACATAGTTGTAATTCCTTCCTCATCATCCCTAAAGATATTTGTAAATAAATGACATTCTCTCACCCTTGCCCAAACTACAAATATTCAAATGTTATATACTAAATATACAATTACTCTTTCAAGAACTTTTCACAGATGTAAGTAGATTATGTGCTTATCATTGAACTATAGCTTTCCTGTCCCAAACCCAAGCACCAACATTAATGTTACCATATTTAATTACAGTTCTTCAAATCCTATAACATTTAAATATCCAAGGAGGTAATTACATTTCTTACTGGCAGACTTTGTTCTGGAGCTGACATTAACAGGGACAGCTAACACCCAAGATCTATTAACTACAGTGAGACTGGAGTGTGGTAATTTAACCTGAGTAAATTATGTGTCTGTTTGAGTCATCTCTCAAAGGTGGAACTGGCCACAAGGTCACAAGGGAATCAGATGGAAAAAAATGAATGAGTCAGTGCAAACCTGTCATTCTATTAAAAAAACGAAAACATGAACTTCACCTTCTACTCATAATATGGCTGCATTCCTACACCAACTACATCATTCTTTATTCAACAAAATTACTGCAAATCAAAGATCCATTCAACTGTGAGAAAATCTAGCTTCAAATACTCTACAAAGATCTGGATAAAATTCTCAAGGGTCTGTTTTTAAATTCACAAACAGTTGGATCCTTCAAAATCAGAAATTCAGAAAGATATGTTGTACAAAACAATATTTACCATATCTTATACAAGAGAACTGTTTTTTAATATTCAGGACTTTTGTGCTTCCTTCAAATGATTTGTTTCATTCATTTTTCGAAATAAATACTGAACTTGGGCCTCCCCAGTGGTGCAGCGGTTGAGTGCTGGGCTGCGAAGCAGCCTGCAGCCTCTGCAGTGCCGGTTTGATCCCCAGCCACTAGCGAGGGTCCCACATGGCGCGCAGACCTCTCCTGCCGCCCGCTGCTCCCCTCAGCAGTGTATTTCGTCAGTCTGCCTGCTCTGTTCCCCGCTCTGGCTCTGGTGAATTCTCTCACCCTCCTGCACTTCTGACTGTACCCAGGCTTGTATAAATAAATAAATAAATAAATCTTTTTTAAAGAAAGAAAGAAATACTGCACAGATTATTTTTATATTAATTAACTGTTTTTGCCACCTCTCTTCTTTCTTTACTTCAATCACAGCATTACATGTATGTTGGAAATGTCATTTATAAAATTCAAACAAAGTGTTTATTTTGTTATTATTCCTTTACGCTCACTGGCCTGGCCAACTTGACAAGACAAGTGATGCTATTGAGCCCTGGTCATTGGCCTTTTTTTTTTTTAAGGATTTTTCTATGCATACAAGAAATGGGGCACAGGCCAGAGGTGCAGGAGGTGAGAGGATTCACCAGAGACAGAGTGGGGAGCAGAATAGGCAGACCAAAATTATACTGCTGAGGGGAGCAGCGGGTGAGATAGGAGAGGTCTGCTGTGCCATATGAGCAGCTCCTGGCTGGGGATGGAACTCATGCTGCAGAGGCTGCGGATAGCCTCACAGCGCTGTGCTCAACCCCTTGTGCCACCAGGGAGGCCTCTGTCATTTGCTCTTAACTCTCACAGGTGCTGTACTCACCATGAGGAAATACCCAATGAGCAGGACAGGCATTAAGAGGATAATGAGTAGATAATCAAAGAAGGTAAACCTTTTCTTCACAGCATAATGCAAGCAGGTTCTCTCTTTCTAAAAAAGTAAGAAAAGGATTTTTTTTAATAAAACATTATGTTTCAGATTTCATATTTAGCTTACCATATCAAAATAAAAGTTCGAAAGTCCAAATGTCATCTATAGGTAAAGGCTTTGCTTTTCTCTAGCTAACTCTTATAGGTTACAGAGTTGAAGACATGATGTTCCCCACAGCAAAGTGGACTTGTGGTGAGGACTGACTTTCAAATCTAAAAGACACTGGTGTTTACTTGGTGTTTTATGGTACTTCTGGCCTTCTGGGTTTATGGTACTTGGGGTTCCTCTTCCTGTGGCATATGTCTGATGAATAAGTTCAGATTTCCACTGACCAGAATATTAAACACAGTCCAGTCTAAAGAAAAGGCCAAGGAGAGGGTCACAGAAAAACCAGAGAGGTGAAATGTATATTTTACACATGATCAAAAAATGGATGCTCACACCCATTTTAGTGTTTGAAAAAAAAACACATTGAGATATAAACACAGGACTAAATTCAGTATGAAAAACTACAGTTGCTTCTAGATCATCTATACTGAACTCTGATTTATTTTGTGGTTTGGTCATAGGAAAATCACATGAAAATTTTTCCATGTTCCGACATGCACACAGGCAGTGCTAGAAGACAAACTCCTAGGGACTGTGAGGGTTATAGACTTGGGTGAGGGTGGGTGTGGGAAGGTTCATAATAATAAAACAAGAGTTTTGTTATTTATTTATTTATTTATTTATTATTTCATTATTATGAACAGAAACATGTGCAAATAAGTATAACTGAAAACAGACTCTTGTCATGGAAATACCAACCAGAGCAGTAATAGGGAGAACCAGAGATAAAAGAGAGCTTAACTTCCACTTGGGGGAGGCACTGTTATTCAATAACAATACTTTTTGTATTTCTAATATTATGGTATAATATGTTCTCTTTAAAAATTGTGAAACTATACAAGAAAATAATGGTAGAATTTTAAACACCTGTTATCAAACAGCTCAGAGTTCACTGTGTTTGCATTTTTACTCTATTTCTTCCAGTTTATTTACTGTCTTATTTCAACTTTATCGAGGCAAAATTGATATAATTTTTTAAATATGTGTATGTGGAATTTCATTTTATTTTATGTTTTTTTTTTTTTAAAGATTTATTTATCTATTTATTTATTTATTTATACACTGCTGAGGGGAGTAGTAGGCGAGACAGTAGAGGTTTGCTGTACCATGTGGGTTGCTCCAAGGCTGGCAGGGATTGAACCAGCACTGCAGAGGCTGTGGACAGCTTCACAGCGCTGCGCTCAACCTCTTGCACCACCAGGGAAGCCCTGTATGTGTAATTTTAAAAGGTCAGAAAATATTTCATGAGAAAAATCATCTTACTTTTTTTTAAATTTGTTAGGCATGATTTATATATTTCAAGTGGACATTTAAAGTATCTTAAGATAAAATGCCTTTGAACAGGAGCTTCCTTTCCAGTACTTTGATTCTGACAAGACTTATCTAGAAAACTTACTACTGTGGAAAATGAAGAGTGCTTAAATCCAATGTGGGGGCACAGAGAAGGAGGCCCTGTGGTTTCTCTTTGTGATTAATTGCTCCAGCACTATCCTTCAGGGCTGAGCGAGTTTCATATTTTCTTTAGTTATCATTAGGCCCTGAAACTCTCCTCGGACAACTTTGATGCTATCTGAATCCTGCCATTCTGCTCACACTGACAGGGCTCTTGGGTCCACCACTCCATTAGAACTACTAACTCCAATTTAATTTTTGCTGCAAACTTACAAAGGGGGTGTTCTGGGTATTTGTGTACACATTCTATTTTAAGGCTGTATATTTAGTTTTCATAAAATGTTCTTAAGGGCCAATTGTCATCCCTGTCCATCTTTTGTCATGTCTTCATCATCTTTGAGACCCCAAAGCAGCATCTCCTCCTGCTTTCCAGCCCTCTAGTTCTTCCAACAGTCAGAAATTACAGGACTTTTATTACCCACCCCGTGGTGGCTATCATCTTCCATTGCTATGGCATTTGAGAAAATGGCGTTCTCTACATGCACTGAAGGGAGGAGAAAGGAATCACCACAGCTAGTCACTCTACACTCGTGTGTCGTAGCCTCACCCGGTTTCTGAGGTTCACATCAGCATTTCTTCTTAAAAGGAAGGAAATGATTCTCAGGTGCCCTCGCCGGCAGGCACAGATCAGGGGGGTGTCTCCATTGAAGCCATCTTGAACGTTGACGCAGTTGCTGTCCTCCCTCACCCACCGCCACACCTGGCCAAAGTCGTTCTGATAGGCCGCCTGGCAGATAGGCTGAGAAGAAAAGCAGACTTTGAAATATAGGGAGAATGAAATCACACAAAGAGTACTTACTTAGTATCTTAATATGCAAGAGTTTCCAAATTGTCATGGGTTGGTAAATGGATTTTTGGTCTCAGTTATGTCTAGTCTTAAATCTAGAACAAACATAAATGCATAGGAACCTCACGTGATTTCCTAAATAGCTTGATACACAGAATGATTCCCTGAATGGATAAATGACTGCATAGAAGGATGAAACAGTGCAGATTTGCTCAGTAGGAAACTGGGTGTGGTGTTCATCTCTAGATGAGCCTATCAGAAAGGCAGAATTTCCCCGGAGACAGAACAGGCACATTGGAGAAGTTTAGGGCCGCACTTGACAATGGGACAAGAACCGCATGGCCCCTGTAACTCAGCAACTCAGCACAGTAGACAAAGAATTACAAATTGTGCAGTCAAATGCAATTTTTCATCTTTTTGTTTGTATTCAAAAGCTTATAAGTAGCTCTGCAAAGCTCTGTGGGAGTCTAACAACTAGACCTAAGCAGGCCTCATCTTGACCACTTTCCCTCCCTCGGCTCTCCTTCAGGACTTATCTCCTTCCCTCAATCCCAGGGTTCAGTTTCCTCCAGCAAGGCCCTTCCTGCTCCCTCTGCATAAGCCACTTTCCCTCTCCCTCTTCACCCGGCTAACTTCTAACTCACCCTTCACGTCATAACCTAATTTTCATTTTATCTTATGCTTTCCTGACTCCCGGCACACATCCACAGCAACTGGCCTACCTATAGCTACTTTTTGGATTATTTAAAATTGTATGTTTCCAGCCAGCATGAACCAAGAGGCACTGAAGTTGAACTGAATGAGGAAAGGCACTGAAGCTCCAGATAAACTTCATGTGGGTAGAGAACACATTGTTCAATTCACCGCTGTGTTCCCAGTATATAACACTGTCCTGAACACATGACCTACAAATACCAAGCATTTCTAGACTGACTGTAATTAGACAATGCATTAAAAAAAAAAAAAGCAGTTAGAATAATACCTGGCATGTGGATGGTGCTCAATTTTTAGAAAGAACTACTATTCCTTATTAAATCATCCTGTAAATTGATAACAAAGTCAGATCTCTGCTGTGTGCCGTAGTAATGGGGACGGGGGAGAATCTGTATAAAATATATTATTCTTAACCATATGAAATTTATCTACCAGTTAGGGATATAGAGAACACCCACAAACATGCACAAACTAAACACTACCAGAATAATGATAAAGGAGTAAGGACTAGGACAGACCAGCAGCTGGGACAGACCAGTGCAAAGTTGATGGTACATTTGTTTAATAATCAACTTGGATTCTAACATGGACAAATAGCACAAGAGAACTTTTTAAAGTCGTATTCTGAAGTGACATCCTAAACAAAAGGCAACTCATAAAGCAAATCACTGTACCCACAAAAGAAATGAGTGTGGTTAAAGTGTTGCAGTTTGCAGTCAAAATGTTCAACTACACAAATCACACTTTCTATTACCCTAATGTCTCCCTACTTATTCTCATCACCGTTCTAGCTCAGCAGAATCTGGGGCACCAGCTGGCTGACAGAGAAATGACTGTGGCACGTGAACAAACACACCTGGCATGGTTGGGGGCTGGGGGAAGTGGGGTATAGCTGAAGTTCTGACACTAACTCCCCGGATGACCAAAGATAATTCTCTTCCCCTCAGTATGTCTCACTATCCCCAGTCACAAAATAAAGGTGTGAGTTCCTTTCGGGTATCCTGTTCTTTGCCTATCACACCCTGGACCTGGAGTGCCTCCTTAACCAATACATCTTCCACATCAACTGCCAGGGTATGATTTAGTGTTTTCCAAACACAAATAGTGCTCAAAAATGTTCAGTGAATTGGACCTCCCCTGGTGGCGCAGCGGTTGAGCGCTGGGTTGCTAGGCTGCCCGCAGCCTCTGCAGAGCCAGTTAGATCCCCGGCCACCAGCGAGAGTACCACAAAAAAAAAAAAAAAATGTTCAGTGAATTGCTATTGTTTTAACGGTGATGTCCAGAGAGTAATATTTAAATTATAACTCAAACAAAACTAAATACAAGGCAATGTAGTCATTAACTCTGGATTTTGCCAACTAAACACATTAGAAGCAAAATAATGTTATTAAATTATTTTAATATAAGGACAAAACAAAGTTATTTTGACAAAATATAAAAGGATATAGTCAAAAAGGGGGGAAGGCAATCCTCTACCTTACACAGATTTAGCAACATGAGAAAACTGTGTCATTGTCTTTTTTTGTAATTTCATCACAAACCAGTGAATATTTGCCACTGATCACTATTAATAATGGACTAGTATTTGGGATCTGATGGTCTTCCATGCAGAAGTTGATAAAAGGGAGCTATAGAGTTCATTTTTCTTTTCTTAAATAAATTTTAAAATCATTTTATAACATTTAAAAAATTGGAATATTACTTATAGCAATTTGCCTTTCCAATTTCTCTTTAAAAATTGAAATATTTGACAACACAGGGCCCACATTCTCAAAGGACATCAAATAAATCCCCCTCTGCTTGGGTTCCTCAAAAATCTTCGCTGAAGTGCTAAAACAGGAAGGTGAAAGGTGCACTGTTCTCCTGCCAGAGTCATTCAGTGCTATTGAGTGCTTAATCAGTCCCACCTGAGTAACATCACTTAACATTTTATTTATATTTTATTTTTTTAAAGATTTATTTATTTATTCATGCATACAAGAATCTGGATACAGGCCAGAGGTGAGGGGCGGGGGTTATGAGGATTCACCAGAGACAGGGCAGGGAACAGAACAGGCAGACTGACTGAAATACACTGCTGAGGGGAGCAGCAGGCAAGACAGGAGAGGTCTGCTGCACCACGTGGGTAGCTCTCTGCCTGGGGATGGAACTCGTGCTGCAGTGGCTGCAGATAGATTCACAGGTTGCGTCTTAACCCCTTGCACCACCAGGGAGGCCCACATCACTTAAATCAGCTTTGATCTTACCTTTCAAAGCTTCTAGATTTCCTATATCCTAGACATGGTTTTTGGAAAGTGTCTTCCGGGTTTAGACATAAGTCCTTGAATAGGTTCTATGCTGTTACAAACTCCCGGTGTCCACTAGGGGGCAGCTCAGCGCCATAAAAGCACTGACGACAAACAGGAGGGAAGTCCCCACAGAGAAATACTGGTTGACAGTCTAGAAATGAGAAAAGAGGGGTCAGACCACTTGGGTTGAGGAGAGAGCTGGGTTGTTTGTTTGTTTGTTTGTTTGTTTGGTTTGTTTGGTTTGGTTTGGTTTTTTAAAGATTTACTTCATTTATGCATACAAGAACTGGAGAACAGGCCAAAAGGGCAGGAGGTGAGAGGGTTCACCAGAGACAGAGTGGGCAACAGGCAGACTGAACAAAATACAATGCTGAGGGGAGCAGCGAGCAAGACAGGAGAGGTCTGCTGCGCCATGTGGGCAGCTCCCTGGCCGACCCGGGATCGAACTCGTGCTGCAGAGGCTGTGGACAGCTTCGCAGTGCTGTGCTCAATCCCTTGCACTACCAGCGAGGCCCGAGGAGTTTTTATGAATTCTGTTGTCCTCTGAAGTTTCTGGAACTGGAGGCAACACTGGGTGTATAGGAAACCAGTGGGAAATGACTTCTACGCTCAAAACTCTTCTGTCACTCCTCACTGCCAAAATGCCAACTCATATTATCGTTCATGCCAGGACCATTGCAAAGTAGCCATTAACTGCCCTTACTTCTTGTCTCACCCATCCAACCACCAATCCATCCTCCAAAAACAACAGCTTCACGTCACTTCCCTGCTGAAAATCTTCAATGACGAATAGGATCAGGATTCTGTCCTCAAGCTGCCACACAAAAATCTTCAAATTTCACAAGCCCTGTCTTTCCAATTTCCTCTCCTATGACTACCTTATTGATACCCTTCATCTAAGGAATAAAGGTCCAAAAGTTATCACAGCTTTGTCCCCAACCTGACTGTATGCTACTTGAGGGCAGGCATTGCATCTGTACTTGTTCAACACTGTGTTCCCTGCATCCGGAATATGCCTGACGCAGAGTGGACATTCAATATCTACTTGGTGAGTAAATAAGTGAATAAATAAATTATAATATGAGCTATTTTATTGAATAGCTCAATTTTTTTTCCATTTTACCCTCACAATAATCCTACAGCCTAAGTATATTATTGTCCACATTTTGTACAGGTAAAACTGAGGGAGGTTGTCTTCTTTGCCCAACTGAAAAGTGACATTGCCGTAAAGCAAATCAAAAGGCATGTCTAGAGTGTGTACTTCCTGGCTTGATTTGCTTCAGGCAATTTGAAAAACAGCCTTCAAAATGCCATGTGGCTATGAGACTATACTTGAAATTTTGGGGGATTTCATTTCCACCCATTATTAAGCTACACTATACCGTCTATACTATAAGCTACACTATACCACTATAAGGATACTGCTCTGCCCTGGCCCACTAGTGTCCAAGCCTTCTTGGTCATATATCCAGGTTCCTTCTTGAAACTGACAAAGAATTAGTGACACTTACCAAGAGATAAAGTGGTGGTCAGAGAGGTTATAAGAGAACAGACCATAGTACAAACTCAAAGGAGGGGATGTTTCAAGGAAAAAAGATGGACTTAAGAGAATTAGTGTAAGGAAATATTGGTGGATTTAATAATTAATGACCACCCAGAGATCAATTTTCATAGAGGGATGGGACAAAAGGCAGAATACATGGGTCTGTGAAGAATTAGAGAATGTGACTAAAGGAGAAATTTAGGGTAAATTTGGTGGTGAAAGCAAAGAGCAAGTCCGCAAGTGGGTAGAGGGGGATAGCAGGCTCCAGCCGACAGTCTACACATCCGCAGACAAAGCAGTGGTAAGTGGTTATAAATACAGGCTTTGGAAACAAACTTTCTGGGTTCCAAGCTCAAGTTCACCATTTAACAGTGGTGCATTTGAACAACTTACACTCTTTCTGCTCA